TACAATTATAACCACAATCATAGTGCTTGAAATAAAAATGGTATAAGTGTTTATAGTTTTTCAGACAAAACAAAATAAAAAAAACAAACCTAAGTAGAACACCCAATTCCAAGCACATTTCGATTTAACAAGTTTGTCCTAATGTGTGAAATTATGTTCGCAAAACTATTTAGTTCACAAATGTAGTACCTTGTTTCCCTTTATACAGATGACGATGACGTATTTGCACAGACTTGTTAATTTTCTTTCTATTTAATATTTAAAAATATGATTCCAAACTCAAAGAAAGAACAATACAAAATTATTAATAACCTTCAAAAATAAAAGGTGGAATGATACATAATTCTGTAGTCTGCATATTGGAGAGTTTATTCTCTCATCTTTTGGAGGTGGGTAAATAGATCAGTATTCTCTTTTTTCATATCCTGATGGTCTGTTCTGGGAAAACCTCTTCCTTTCTCCTTCTTAATGGTTAGAGAAAAATTGCTAGAAGATAAGCCTGTTGTAAGACCTAAAGAAAAGCCCAGATGATCTTGTGAGTATCCATTTGGAATCTAAAAGTGAGGACTTTCCCAGCTGGATCAGTTCTTGGCAAAATACTGAAGTGGAACAAGTTTATGTTTGGACTTCTTCTGTTTCCTATTTCCTCACTGGTTCCCTGTCTCTCCGAAGTATTAAGTAAAATGATTGTTTTTGTTTAATGATACTGTTTAAGTAATAAGTAAAGCATTTGCTGATAAGGACTTAAGATACAATTCTTCTTGGGGATTGTTTTTTAACTTTTAATTTTGAAATATTGTAGACTCACAAGAAGTTGCAAAAATAGCACAGAGAGGTCCTACTCTTTACCCAACTTCCCCTAATGGTGAAATCTTACATAACCACAGTACATTATCAAAACTAATAAATCAACATTGGCACAATATAGCTAACTAGACTACAGGCAGAGGAATTTTTGGAGAATTAGAAATTCTCCCCAAGGGTGAAAGAAAACCTTTTCTAAATCTTCATGTTGCCCTGATCTGTGTATATCTAGGTTTTTGCCCTTGTCTCACTGATAATCCTGGATTAACTTTCTGTCTTCTCCATTCTCCCCTTCAGACCAGGGAACATGCTGTAGTCACGCTTTAGTCTCATGCTTAGTAAGGTAACTGGCATTCAGTAAATATTTTTGGTTAAAAAGGTAACTAATAATTGCTTACGTCTTTACACACATGATCTCTCAGAGTGTTCACAGTCTAGGGGAAAGAATATAGGCTTTAAAAGCATGCAAATCTTGAGTCTTATTATTATTTACGAGCCTGAGTCTTGTGACAAGGTACTGAATGTCCTTTGGTCTTGCCTTCCTTGTGTACTTCATTTTATCTACATAATAGAGTTGTAAAGATTCAAGAAGGTAATTTATGTAATAAAGAAACAAACATAAGGCTCTGGGATGTGGATAGGGTGAAAGATTTTATTGCCATTTTACAAACTAAGGCTTGAGAGGGTAACTCATTGCTGCAAATCTTAGAACCAGTATGTGGTGGTGCTGTGAAGCACCTCGGGCCAGCAGTCTTCCAGGAGATCCCATTGCCTTTCCCAGGCAACAGAAGAGTGGATTAAAACACAAACAAACAAACAAACAAACAATAACCACCAAAGGGTAGTTACAGAGATTTAAGATTTTGTTCTAATGTAGTTGTTGACTTCTTTTGCTCTGTGCATAAGAAACCCTCTCTTGGTGGAGCTGGATGGTGAGATAAAATAGGAGATGAATTATGGGTGTGGGTTGCTATTTTGGAGGTTCCTGCCAAATACCCTTCCATCCTCCCCACTCAGTGGACACCCTATAGCCAGGAATCCTGCTTGCCAAACTCTGCATCAGATGTTTGTGCCTTCATCCTTTGCAGATGGCGTGGAAGGATGAGAACTTGGAGGCCTTAAGTACACACACTTCAATGTCAAAAAAATATTTTCTAAATCACAAGATAACTTAAGTTTTAAAAAGTTAGAGGTTTTTGACATCATCATCATCACCATCATTATCATCTACTTTTTATTTTCTGTTCATGAAAATAATTTTTTTTAACAAAAGAGAATATGTAAACAGGGAACTTTTTTTACTAAGCTGAATTGGCTGGTAACACATTAGCTAAAGTTGCTTTTCAACCTGCCCTGAACACCTTTTACATATCCTTGAATTTATCATATTAGAATTCCATTTTCCATTATTAGAATGCCTAACTTGGAAGTATTCCTTTGGCTTATTTAATCTATTCATTTCATTGAAACGGAATAGGAAATAGTAAAATGTTTGATTTATGAGGGTTTGGGCTACAAATGTTAAAAACTCTGGTAGCTTAAATGCTTGGATTATAATGAGAAACATTCACTTTTTAGTGGTGGTTTACAATTTGGCTTTTGGCCCTCTAGTTAAGAAAATGGGTAATGCCATCTTAAACATAGGAACTGAAACCATGAAAATTCTAGGAGAAAACACAGAAACAAAGCTCTTTGATATGGATTTTGGTAATGATTTTTTGGATATGGCACCTGAAGCACAAGCAACACAATAAAAAATAAACAAGTGGGACTACACCAAACTTACAAGCTTCTGTGCAGCAAAGAATGTCATCAACAAAGTGAAAAGAAAACATACAGAATAGGAAAAAGATTTGCAAATCATGTATCTGATCAGGGGTTCATATCCAAAACATAACAAGAACTCATACAACTCAATAGCAAAAAACCAAATAACCCAATTAAAAAATGGGAAAAGGACCTGAATAGATATTTCTCCAAAGAAGACATATGCAGGGCCAATAGGTACATGAAAAGATGCTCAACATCATTAGTCATACGCTAGGAAAATGTGAATCAAAACCACAATGAGATACCACCTCATACCTTTTAGAATGGCTATCATCAAAAGGACAAGAGATAAGAAAGCTGGCATGGATGTGGAGAAAAGCAAATTCTTGCATGCTGTTGGTGGAATTGCAAATTGGCATAGCCACTATGGAAGGATCCTCAAAAAATTAAAAATAGAACTACCATATGATCCAGCAATTGCACTTCTGGAAATATATCCAAAGGTAATGAAAACCCTAACTCATTATAATATGCACCCCAGTATTCACAGCAGCATTATTTACAATAGCCAAGGCATGAAAACAAGCTACATGTCCATCCATGGATGAGGGAATAAAGAAGTAGTGATATATATATATGTATATATATATATATATATACACACACACACACACATATATATGTATATATATATACACACACACACATATATATATGTATATATGTATACACACACACACTGGAATATTATTCAGTGATAAAAATGAGAAAATTCTACTGTTTGTGACACATGGAGGGAACTTGAAGGCATTATGCTAAAGTGAAGTAAGTCAGACAGTGAAAGACAAATACTGTATGACCTCACTTATATGTGGAACCTTAAAAAAAAGTTCTCAAACTTGTGGAAAAAAGAGATAAAACTTTTGGTTACCAGAAATAATGGGGGGGGGTGGAGAGTGGGGGAAGGGAAGGAAAGTGGTCAAAAGATACAAGCTTCCAGTTATAAGGGATAAAGTGCTAGGGATGTCATGTCCAGCATGATGATGACAGTCCCCAATGCATTATGATATATAGAACAGGTGTCAAGAGAATAAATCCTAAGAGGTCTGATCACAAGGAAACAATTTTTTCCCCTTTATGCTTTTCTCTTTTTTTTTATATTGTATCTATAAAGAAGATGGATGTTCGCTGAACCTATTGTGTAGTCATTTCACAATATATATAAATCAAACCATCGTTCTTTTTGACTTAAACTTCTCCAGTGATGTATGTCAATTATTTCTCAATAAAACTGGAATGAAAAATGGAATTTCAGTTACCAAGATTAGAGACAGAGAAAGCTAGGAGCTAGAATGTTTCTCCAGGATTCTGAATTGTTGCCTCGGTTTTGATGCTGTCTCTCACATTTGACCATTAAAGTAAAGCATACTGGAGGTCAAGAGAGGAAAGGAAAAAAAAAATCACTTTGATGCAGGACATGTCATCAGAACTGGGAGAGTTCGGATGGAAATTTACTTGGAGACACTGTCAATAGAATATCTTAGGGAAACCGACTTCTGCAAACTTTTAAGATATGGAGGGATGTAAACATGCATGTGAATTCTAAATTTGTTAAAGCTTACTCACTCCCAGCATCACAAGGTATGAAAGATACACAGAAAGTTTTCTTTCTTGATTTGCTTTGGCTTTCTCGTCATTTATTACCTAGGAAATCTGATCATTTTATTTCTACTTACATAATATCATTTAAATAGGGTTGAATGCAGAATGACTCTCTCTTCATTTACATTTTTTTTTTTTTTCTGAAAAATAAACTATAGCACACGTAGAGAGAGCAAGAATTGTCATTATAACAAAAGTAAAAATGCCCATCTGGGCTCCTGGGCTGTGCTTTTCATTGCTTTGTGCTTTTCCCTGCTTTTCTTTCAAGGAAGAGTGAGAGATCTTGTTAAATAAAAAAGGAGTTTTATGAATGCATTTCTCAGTGAGAAGATACACCTATGATATCAGATCACAAAGACTGGGACCACGAAACGTTAAAACTACACACAAACCGGAATAAATGTAGACTTTACCAGAATGTTTCAAATGGGCATCTTACTTGAACACAGTCTCTTTAAAGACTGCTTCTCTTGAAATATTATCAAATTATTTATAAAATAATTGTTGCTTAAACAAATTGGTTGTTATGAAGCATAGGTTTGTATGCCATGTTAATCTTGCTTAACTACTGACTCTGCCAATATATTCCAGTTTCTAATATATATACCAGAAATGACTTAAGAATAATTCTGAAGTGAAATCACAGTTTTATCAGAAAAAAACAGTTTTATATTAAAAGCATAAATGTAACTAATAAACATTTGTAATTGTGATTAGTTCATACAATATTAAGGTATACAAAATTAAATACTGAGCATACTTACAATATTTACCCAAAATTAAGATGTAGAAGAAGACAGGACCAGATGTCATTTCCTTCTTTCTGAGCAACTGATTAATAAAAGTGAGTACAATTTGGTCTTGGTTTCTGAGTCGCACACAGCTCACGGTGGTTGTGTGCTATTTCTGTCTGCAATCTTAGCAGCTACAAAGCAGTCCTCCCTCCTTCCTCTCTCATTTCCTCTCCCTCTCTTTCCATTCCCTTTTCTTTTCTTTCTTCCTTTCTGTTTCTCAGAATCTCTCCTCCCACCCGCCTTCTCTAAAAGTCTCAGTATCCTTCTTTACGCCCCCCTCCACACCCGCCCCCCCCCGCCACAGCAAACACACACACTCCAGCGTGAACACAGACAAAGCTGAGCAGTGAGCAAAAGTTTCAGACAGAGAACATACAAGCTCTTCTTGTTGACTCTAAACATCTTTTCTTCTATGTCCTGCAACAGTCTACAAATGAGGGTGCGTGTGAACTGACAAGCGTCCGAGCTGATCAAAGTCACACTACTAGAAAGAAACTGAGAGATATAACACAAACGAAAAATATTTTTTTCCCTCAGTGACTTGGGACTAGGAAAAGAACAGAACTACACAGGGCAAAATGCCTTTGTGGAGTTAACTATAAGGCGAGAATTAAAATGTAACTATAGCAATCTTTTGTGATCTGAGTTTAGGCATTTGAACGATAGGCTATTGTGTAAAGAAAAATACAAAGGAATAAAAAACAGATCTTAAATTTTCTTGAGCCCGTGAATTTTACTACAAGTGGAGACCACGAGAGGTCATTGGTTGGGGAGTAAAGCCTTCCTGGGTTTGAATCATAGTCTGATTCAAACTGTTAGTTGTGTAGGTGCTTGCTCTTGGCTGAGCTTTTGTTTTCTGGGGGAAAGTATCTATTCAGCAAGGTGGTGGTGATGATCAGCCCCATGCATACTGAATGTCTGGAATAGGTTCTAGCACAAAATAGGTGGTTAACAAATGGCAGCCATTCATATGATGATGACTTTTATCAGGGGGAAAAAAAAGCATGCAAATGTCAAGAACATTTCCATGCAAACCTTTTTCTTTTAACCAGGCTATAACATTCTTATTTTGCAGCTTAATAGTTTATGGCTAAAACAACTGGGTAGCACCTTACCAGGAGAAATTGGCTTGTGAGGTTAATGCCTCCTAATCACTCTACATGTAGAATCTATTTAAATTACACGTCTCTGTATCATCGACATCAACATAAGAAGCCTATTTCTAAATGGTAGCTAAAAGGTTATATTAACACTACTTTTCTTTTTTCCTGTAGAGGTAATTAATACCACGAAAGGAGAAATGAGGTATAGGAATCTTTACAAGCTTTTTATATGTCAGTAGATTTATTTAATGAAGACATTGTTATTTTAGTAGAAATGTTTATGGTTAACTGAATTTGAACACTCATTTAATGCTCATTGTTTATTCTTTATAATAATACTTGAAATGTTTTAAGTGGTTAATGATTTTTTACTTATTGTAGAAGTAGTGTTTCCTAGAAGGATGCTGAGGGACATATCAAGGGCAATATCTGAAGAAGAACCCATAGGAAGCTTCTCAACAGTAAAGTTAAGGAACTTGCTTTGAGAATTGTCCAGCACAAAGTAAGCTCTTGACACTGGGTTTTCAAAGAAGTCCGGAGGTTATTTTGTTAGCTTTGAGCATTTTGCCTGAGCTGATTATTGCAGACGTATACAATTAGCAGGCCAATAGCCAGGAAGTAGTCTTTAACAATATATACATGCACTGTATTTTTAATCTCAAATTATCCAGGCAAAACTTCAAAATAATTTCTCATTTCACTGAGACTATGTTAGATTTTGCTAAAATAGATACTCCTCTGAAGGAACAATTTTAGACTTCTTCTTCTTCTTCTTCTTCTTTTTTTTTAAAGAATATCACTTCTTTCTTATTTTAAGCCAAGACAGTGAATCTGGAATATTAGTCTCATATAGGTATATTAGTGGAAAAAACCCAGGAGAGAACATAGACTGCCCCTACCACACATTGTAGCAGGCAGTATTGGTATTTTCGGCCAGAAAATTCTTTGTTGTGAGGTGCTCTCCTTTCCATTGTAGAATATTTGCAGCATCCCTGGCCTCTACCCACTAGATGTCAATAGCACTCCCTAGTTGGGACAGTTAAAAATGTCTCCAGACATAGGCAAATGTCCCCTGGGGGGCTAACTTGCTCCTAGTGGACAACAACTGCATTGTAGCAAAAGACTTGCCTGAGCAATGTTTGAGTATTGATTTTTACTAAATAATTAAAATAGAATTCTTCTCACTTAAAATTTTAATGAACATGTGTTTCCTCATTTTGCTCTTCTGCAGGTTGAAGACCTACATTAAAGAGTTCTAAAACCAAACAGACAGTGTGTGTTCCTAACCTTCTCTTCCTGCTCATATTGTTCAATTATCAACGTACACTAGGGGCCTGATACAATCTGTGATGTCATTGCCTCTGTTTGGCTGAGTACTTCATGGTTATCCACATTAGATTTGGTGCTGACTCAGGCTAATAGTTAACACCGTTTCTTACCTTGGAAACTCTTCGAAAATCTTACTGAGGTTCTCTGAATAATAACAAAACTTTCTATTTGAAAATTACTTCTCGGGGCGCCTGGGTGGCTCAGTCGTTAAGCGTCTGCCTTTGGCTCGGGTCATGATCCCAGGGTCCTGGGATCGAGGCCCGCATCGGGCTCCCTGTTCGGCGGGAAGCCTGCTTCTCCCTCTCCCACTCCCCCTGCTTGTGTTCCCTCTCTTCGCTGTCTCTCTCTGTCAGATAAATAAATAAAATCTTTAAAGAAAAAAAAAAGAAAATTACTTCTCAGAACAGCCTGGTGAGTCAAGCCAGACAAGCATCATCAATCTGTGTGCACTATATAGATTCAAGTTTCTAATCTGTGGTGTTTCCATCCACTGAAATCACTAGTACGTTCTTCAGCATCAGATTTTAAAATTAGATCGTGACACTTAGGGGCTTTTTGTCTGTGTGTCTCAACCTACTTGCCACCATCATTTCCAGTTGTAGAAATAGCCATTAAATGTTTGACTCCTGACATGGGCAAGTCTCACTGAAAGACATTGGTAAAATCTCAGTCAGAGCCTCATGATGTAGACTCTGTAGATATTCAGGCAACAGTAAACCAACTCATGAATCTAGAATAAGCACAATCCCAGGGCTAAAATGCATGCTGTCAAATTGTTCATCCTATGGATCCATTCCTAACTGACAGGTGTCAGTCAGGCAACACTCTTGAGATACTCATCATCTCTAAATCACACCAAGACAATTTTAGGGGCCTCGATTTAGCATTAATTGCACAATTCTGAAATGAAATGCCTTCTGGTGAATGATATCAAGCAAAATGTGCACTGGGACAGAGCCACGAATAGGTACAGGTATTTCAAAAGATATTTTATACAGAATCTAAACCATTTCACCCTAGATGGAAGTGATCAGAAGGTATTATGTCAGTTAGCAGATAATCAACCATTAAATGGTAAATCAAATCTCACGTGGGTTCACGTGTTGTCTTTGAGGGATATAATAGGGATGCAACAGAATTGAACAAGCCTCTGCAAAGTTGATAGTGTGAAGAAGGTAAGGACAGGGTTAACGAGCTCAACACTATCCCTGTATGCATCTATCTGTTTATCTATCTGTCGATCATGATCTAATGCAGTAAATATCAGTTGCTGGCTTTCCTTAAGTGAAAACTATGTACAGAACTTAGTACTATTAACCTTGCATACTTAGTTCCCCCGAACTATTGTAATCAACGACATTCAAGTTTTAGGCTCATTCTATCTGGATTGAGCCTACGTCGTTCTAGATCAACAGTATAAAAGGAGAAATGTCGTCTGTTGATTGAGACAGTGGGTGGGATCTGGAAACTGCAGTTGCTGTTTCATCTCTGGCAGCCTGCGTGCTCGCTGTGCCACATCTTCCTTCCTTCTCCTGCACGTGCTCAGCCATGATAGGTTTCAACTGCTCTAGGTTCCTAGCTTCATCTTCAGCTCCCCTGCTGCCAGAGAAGCTTGCCTCTAACCCTGGCTCACTTGCCTACGGTTCCGCTTGTCTGCACTCTATGGGGTCGACCCTATTTTTTTTTTTTTTTTAAAGATTTTTTATTTATTTATTTGAGACAGAGAGAATGAGAGAGACAGAGAGCACATGAGAGGGGGGAGGGTCAGAGGGAGAAGCAGGCTCCCTGCCGAGCAGGGAGCCCGATGCGGGACTCGATCCCGGGACTCCAGGATCATGACCTGAGCCAAAGGCAGTCGCTTAACCAACTGAGCCACCCAGGCGCCCCCTACAGGAGATTTAGTGCTCTTAGCCCTAGTTTCATAATCCCGGCGTTCTCCCTTGAACGCACTATCTTATCGGTCTGCTGCCGATGCCGCTACATGGCTCACCTGAGGCTACGTGATTTATGCGAGGGGCATCTCCTACATGCTAGAAGGTGAAATAGAATAGAAAAGTAAAGGTCGCTTGTTCTAGTAGTACCAGTAGAAGATGGGCAGGCAGGTTCCCAATTTTGCCACTGATTAGACATGTAACCTCTGATAAGTCACTTAAATGCCTCTGGTCCTCGGTTGTTTCACTTGGGAAATAATGAGTTGATCTTTTATTTATTTATTTGTTTAATTTTCTTTTTTTTTTTAATTTTTAAGTAATCTCTGCACCCAAGGTGGGGCTTGAACTCAAAACCCCGAGATCAAGAGTCACATGTTCTACTGACTGAGCCAGCCGGTTTCCCCAATGGTTGATCTTTTAGATGAATTATAGCTCTGTTGTTTTAAGAAACATAGTACTCTGCTTCAGAAAAATTTATAATTTGGTGTGTAATGCATATACATGATTTACCTAAAATACAATTTTACTGAATCTCTCAACGAATGTGGATTGGTGCCATTGAACATAAGGTAATAAAAAAGGTATGAGAGGGCATCAAGGAGGCTGGTACAGAGAACTAGGTGGAGTCAACTACAGAAGCTTCTTTTAGAAAATTTGTGTGGTGCGTGTAGAAGGCAGAGAAGGTCATGGGCTGATAGGGAGTAATAAAAGCAACATTTCACTTCAAAGACAAGTGCGTGCAAACGTGCCAATAGTGGTTCTAGGTGAATCTAGGCCAATATAACAAGAAATGGTCGTAAAGTTATGGGGTAATCAGCTGTT